CCCCATCCTGTTCCTGCCCCTGCGCCGCCTCCCCGGGAGGTGGCCGGGGCGGCGCGCCCCTCTTCTTCCCTCGGCCGCCACCCCCGTGAGCTCTCCCCCGCCGCCGCCGGCGGGTGCCCCGGCGCTGGCCCGGGTGCTGCCGGCGGCGGCGGGCCCGTCTGTACCCGCGCGTTCGTCTCCCTCCCGGGGCTGGTGACGGCGGCGGTGATGCTCGGCTGGGCGGCGGCCCGGTGACCCGGCAGCGGTCGCCGGCGGTAGGCGCGGTGGCGGTGCTGCCCTTGGCAGCAGGACGGAGTGGTGGCGTGCGGTGGCCGGCGGCGCATCCCCGGCCCAGATCTGGGCCCTCCCGGCCCCATCTGGGTCCTAGCGGGCCGGTCCCTGGCGTGGCTTCGTCGTCGTCTGTGTGGTGAGGAGGATGAGCGGCTCGGATGGGGGGCGGCGATGCCGATGGCATGCCTGCTGCAGCGCGATGGCGGGAGCTGTCCGGAATGGAGTTCCCGGCCGGGCCTGTGGGCACACGGGCCTGGTAGGCTCCTGCTAGTGTGTCCGGTCGGCTACCGTCGTTGACGGTGGAGGTTGTGCCCTCCCGCGTGCCGACGGTGCTGCGGCCCCTAGTCCCGGCTCCTATCCCTTGTTGTGCAGACCTCACCTCGTGGTGCCGTGGTGAGACGGCGTGGAGGCTTCTTGACCATGGTGGCGCAAGATGGTGGTCGGTTTGGTGGCAGGCTCTGGAGCACCTGAGGTGAAGGTTGGGATCGGGGGAAACCCCTGTCGGCCTGTCCGACCCCGACGCGGCGACGCCGGTGGGTGCCGTCGGACCTTCCTGGAGGGCGTCGGGGGCGACCTTTCCTCTCGCCTCGTCGTGTACCGGGGGAAACCCTTGGCAGCAGCGTCGTCTTCGTCGCGGTCCTTCTTGGAGGTGCTGATTGGTACCGGTGCTTCGAAGCCTTGGAGCTTGGTGGGAGATCTTCGGTGGGCGCAGTGGTCGTGAAGCTTCTTCGTTTCCGTCGATCCGCCGTTGTTAGCATTCTTTTCTCTTGTTGTTTCTCTTTCGTTTCTTTTGGGTGTGACTGTGCTGCTTCCGCCCCAGCACCTATCCTTGGATGTATCGGTTGGTTGCTTTGGAATACAAAGCGGGGGGAAACCCTTTTTCGTCTAATAGAATTGACATCGCAAAATGGGTTTTTGATTGGGGAGATGAAGGTTCAATTAGATTGAATCCTTAACTCTGCTATTTATCTATCTTCTGATTTTCCACCCAATAATTAATACAAATTCACGACTTATACTTTAATATGTCTGGCATGTGGAGGATCACGTTGAGTCTTCGGTACTAGCAAGAACTTCAGCCAGAAGCTCCACAAAATGCATAACATCATAGTACCTGCTTCATATCGGTGATAGATTTCAAGCTTGGATCTTTTTGGAAGAGCAATTAGTACAACAAAGATAGTCGAATAAATGGAATTTTCTTCTTCTTTTGCCGAATTCATTACAGACAAACAATGTATGACGTCTTCTTCTTGTGTAGAATTCATTACAGACGAACAATGTATGCTAGCTGAAAGCATGACACATAGAAGAATGATATAGACACAAAGCTTTAAGCAACAGAAGTAACTAACCACCTTGGGATCCAATTGTGTCATGTAGTTCAATAATAATGTATGAGCTGCAAACTCGATGATACCTAGTTCGTTGGCAGCACACCGTAAAATTTGATAATTCAAATAATCAATGACTCCATAGTAATACTCAAGCATTAAATAAAAAGGTGCGCTGTGCACCATGACCAAGCAAAAAGATAGCAGTACTACCAGTCCAGTACATTCTTTGGCCATCATGCGCATCCTCGTCGACAGCAGTTGATCACTAAATGTGGACTTTGGCAATTTCCTCAATAATATAGCTAGTTACATGTTGCTATATTTTTTTACACAAGGGGGTTTGCGAGCAAGTTTGGGAATAAGCTCCTTCATAATAGACGGGCAACTTCTTGCTAGATGCTCAAAGTCAGAACTCCGTGTGATCAGATCCAGCATGCTATTGTTACAGGACTCGAGGAATCTGAAGCATTCCTCCTTGAGTGCAGGACAAGCATGTTGCTCGGCGAGTGCCACTGTAGTGGCCACTGTGCTAGTGTTGATGTAACTGCATAGTTTGTCTTCGCAGGTCAACTTCAGTCTCTTGAGGCTGTACCTGTCCGCGGCGACAAGCAAATGCTGGACCATCCCCACTGCGTCAGCATCGTCGATCTCAGGCACCGAATCGGTGTAGATAAAATGAAGCAATGCCTGAAATATTTTTGGCTCCATGTCCTCTATCTGCATGCACATTGATGTGCTCTCCTTCATTGGACCCAGAAGCTCCGCCCTGAAGACGGAGGAACGAGCGGCAAGGACACACCTGTGTGCGGCGAAGATCTCACCGCCGACCTCGAACGTCACGTCCGCCCCTTCTCCCGAGGAGAGGAGCTGGCCGAGATCATGGAGGATATCCGGCGGCGGCACCGGCATGCGATCACGGTTCCGGCCAGGGACGTACTCAGTGGAACTCTCCTTGGACACGATGATATCGAATTGGACGCTGAAACCACCGTTCTCCCACGACACGTGACCTAATCTCTCCAGATCAGCCCTGGTGATGAATCGTGCACGAGAACTAGAACTAGTACGTGCA